ATAAAGTTTAACATCGCCTCTTCTATTTTTGAGATTTCAGCATTCTCCCTCTTTCTATACCCTATTTCCTGAATCTCTTCAGTTCTTATATCTTAAAAATATTTTTGCCTTCTCTTCAGATTCCCACCTGCACCACAATGGATTTTTCATTAAAGTAAGTTAAGTCCTGTCCAAATCTTGCCTGCATTTTCAAGTAAAAATGATAAACAAGTACATTATAGTAGGAAGAAAAGTATAACAGTGTGACAGGAAAAAACATTTCAGAAGGGCTTTGAAGAGTAATGAGAACTGAACTGGACTCACAGAACTAGAAAGAGGAAAAGATGCACAGTGTGGGAATAGACTAGATGGAATGGAAAATATGTCTGCTTTTCAATGACACAATTCAATTCAACTGTTTATTAAATAAATATTTATTAAATAAAGTTGAGCTATGCAACTGAGAGAAAAACACACTTCTAGAGATCATCTTACTTACTTTCTATCTACTTTAGGAAGAGACAATTTCACTGACCAGATTTTTATCAACTTTAAAAGGAACCATCTCTGTCATAAAAGTCCTTTTGATTAAATTCCCTATGCATGAATGTCTAGAGTTTTCTCACCACCAACTTCTTCCTCTGTATGGTGTGTGCTTCTCATAAGCCTTGTTTGTCAGCACCATAATAGTGTCAAAGATATCCCAAGACATTTTAAATAGCACTAGATACTGTATCCAGCAGACTGAACCACTGAACCAAGTATCACTTGTTAATGAAGCCAGCGAATTTGTGGAGTGATACTGCACTCATTCACCCTTTATTAGGATGTTGCCTATTAGAGATTATATATGTGTGCAGAATTTGGATAGATTAGGAAATATTTAACTTCTTGACAGCCAAGCAACAAGTTTTGCACAATAAACAGCAGCTAAATTCCACATCCTAGAAAAATAATTCAAGGTCAGTTGAATTAGCAAAGTAAAAAAATTATCATCTAGAAAAAAAAAAAAAGGCTATTACTATTTCAGAGATAAAGATCTTTAATGTAATAGCAAAATTAAATTGGATTATAGAAGATTCTGAGACACTGATTTCTGAAATAAATTGAAAAGCTTTTATTCCTTACAGGAAAGCCTTTCAGGTTTATACAGTCACGCATAGCAGCATCATGTTTTTAATTTGTATGTGATTAAGATAATTAGCAAAAAGATTAAGCAGGGATCTCCACACTCTTCATTGCCTGCAATATAGGGTAATATTTATGATTGAATGCAAGTGGTATGTCCATCTTGGGAATATATCCATGATGGGACTCAAAGCAAAAATCATCAGACTTCACATTCATATAATGCACATCAGAAGTTCACATTTATTCCTGTTTTTTCTGCCACATGTCAGTAAGTATCTCATTCATAATCAAGCTAAAGTGATTTGTGTTCCATGATCTCCAGGGAAATATAGTTATCTGAAAGTACAGGAAAACCTGTCTAGTCTTTAGTGATGTCATTGTCACAGTAACAGCACTTGTACACAAAACAAAATATCAACAACAACAACAGCAAAATATTTGATTTAATTTCTTGTATTAGTTTTTACACTCATGAGATTTCTCCAAGTACTGAATTAATGGAATTTCCTAGAAAATCAGTGTATAATGATGATGATCAAGCTGAGTGGAGCAGTTGATGCAACAGAAGGAAGGAATGCCATCCAGTGGACCAGGCATCCTTTAAAAGTGAATCCACATGAACCTAATGAGGTTCAATAAGGCCAAGCGTTGCAGTAAGACCAAGTGTTGCACTTGGTCAGGGCAATCCCAGATAGGAAGAACTCATTGGAGAAGACCTTATTGAGAGCAACCCTGTGGAGAGGACATTAAAGGTCCTGATGGACAAAAAGCTGAACATGAGCCAGCAGTGTGCTCTTACAGTCTCAAAGATCAACTGTATCTTGATCTGCCTAAAACAGCTAGCTGCCCGGGCCAACAGGGAGAGGGAGGTTATTGACCTCTTCTACTCTGCTTTTGTAAGGCTCCATTTGGAATATTGTGTCCAGACCTGGAGTCCCAGTACAAGAAAGAGCTTTTGGAGTGAGTCCAGAGGACAGCCATGAAGATGACCAAAGGGCTTGAAACATCTGTCTTATGAGGAAAAGTTGAGAGAGATAGGCTTGGTTAGCTTAGAGAAAAGAAGGCTCAGGGAGACCTCACTGCAGCCTTCCAGTACCTGAGGGAGTCATAAGCAGGAGGGGGAATGACTTCTTGCGTATTCTAATAGTGATAGGGCAAGGAGGAATGTCTTTAAGAGAAGGCAAATTTAGGTTAGATACTTCGAAGAAATTCTTTACTCAGAAGATGGTGAGGCACTGGAACAGGTGCCCAAAGAAGCTGAGAATGCCCCATCCCTGGAGACATTCAAGGCCAGGTTTGGATGGGACCCTGGGCAACCTGATCTAGTGGGTGGCAATCTTGCCCATGGCAGGGGGATTGTAACTGAATAGACTTTAAGATCCCTTTCAATCCAAGCCATTCTGTGATTCTATGATACAATACTAAGACCAAACATGCAGATCACAGTTTTAAACATCTCTTTCTCCCTGAACTATAAAATAGATTAATGAGTTTAAAGGCAAATCATATATCAAACATATATTTTCTGTGAATGAGACACTTATAAACGAACATCTAATTCTAGAGATTTGAATGTAAGGATGTTAGTGGTCATTGTGTTTTTAATATGGATTTTCATTTTTGTAAGTATTCTCACTGGAAATAAACTCTATGCATGTGATACATGTATGGTTCTACTGATCGTGAGGATTTAAGAGTATGAAACTGAAGAATCACCACTAGGCTAGCAAGAATGTGAACTTATATTGTCTTTTATGTGATAACTTCCTTGATATCTATTTCTTAATCTCATATCTTTACAACATGAAAACACAAAATCGACTTTTCCATAGGATTTAGATCTAAGTTAGTAGGAGTTTCCTATAATTCAAAAGTGTTCCCTTTAAAAAATTTAAACAATTTTAAGTACTTGCAAATGACATAGTTATTCCATTAGTTTATACTAAAAAACTTGACTGTTGTGAAAATTTGTAAATGATGTCCCCCTAAAAGTACTAGATTAGTCTAGATAGAACCAATTCAGTCTAGAAAAATGAGTCAGAAATAGAAAGCCCAAAGTGTAAGCACTATTCCTTGTGTCACACTTCACCTGCTGTGAAGAGTAGCCAGAAAGTTCTTCAAAAGATACTTGAGCACCTTGAGATCTATGACTACCTGTGCATCTGCCTAGGTGTGATTCAAGTTATTGATTGTTTGGTGTTTTTTTCTGCACTCACTTCCCTGGGACTCAGATAAATCAGACAAATCTTGAACCCTCCTACTTTAACACACAGTGTATCACAGAATAGTGGTATCAATCACAAAATCACAAGAATAGTCAAGGTGGGAAGGGTGGATGTCACCTGGTCCAAACCCTGCCCAAGGAAGAACACAAAAAGCAGATTGCTTAGGACCATGTCCGGGCAGCTTCTGAAGATCTCCAAGGAAGAGACTCCACAGCATTTCTGGACAGTCTGTACCAGTGCTCTGTAACCCACACAGTATGTAGGTGTTTCCTGATTTTCAGAGTTCTGTGTTCCAATTTGTGCTCGTTACCTCTTGTCCGGGCACTGGGCACCAGTTTTCAGACAGAGCCTGTCACTGTCTTATTTGCATCCTCCCTTCAAACTCTTAAAGGCTTCTATAAAATCTACTCCAAGACTCATCTTCTCCAGGCTGAACAATCCCAAGTATCATACAATGTTTTCTGATGTAATTTGGACAAATACACTGTTACACTATAGAATGTTAATGCACAGAATGATGCATATCAAACAGTTTGAAATGGTATTGCCTATATTCTGAGCTGCTGGAACACAGACTAGCTCTGTCCCTAACACTGAACTTAGTAACAGCCTTCTGAAAGGTAAAGCAGTTGGAGTAAGATAGATGAGAAATGAACCCAAGTTCTCTAGTCCTAAGCTAAGCTGATTCAGCAAAGGCAGATCATGATCAAAGCAAACCTATGTAGACATAGCCAATAATTTTTTTGAATATGAGTGTATTCCTAAGTCTAGCCAGAGATTCTTTTACCTGATGAAATAGACGAGCATCAAGATACCGTCATGAAACAACTTTGGCAGAGGGACACTTTCTTTGGAGCCTTTTCTTTTTGAAAACAGTGTGGGAAGCAAAAGACATGACAAGCAATGGCTTCAGTACAAAAGTATTCAGTGTTATGAAAAAAAAAAAAAAGCAGGAAAATAATGACATAGAGTGAGGCAAAGCAAGAAAAGAAAAACGGTGAAGAAATGAAACAAACTACTATTGCTCCAGATAGCTTTATTGTCTTCCTGTCTCCATCTTGAAGCTGTATGGATTCAGTTCTGATTATTCATGTCCATAAAAATATTTAATGCTAGCAGAAGCCTAATTGTATTCAACTGCCTATTGAGGTCCATAAGGAAATTATGCATGTTTAAAGCATCAGAATGAAACTGCCTAATGATAATATACTTTACGGTTCATCTTACCAAAGCATACATGAGCAGAGTTTTTAAGACAGGTATACCTTAGAATATAAAAATCCCAGAAGTGAAATTCTAGTCCATTCCTTTCAATCTCAGCGAGTCCATAATTTATCTGAATCTGTGTATGGACCTAGAGGTTATTCAGATCCCCACATAACATTATGTGCAGAATGTAATTAGCTCTACAAACATATAGCCAACTATTTTTAGTACATAACTTATGTGAAAATGCAGCTCCTAAGATCATTCATTTAAAAGTACACGTATTTTAGGAGTTATTTACACATATTAGATGTTGGAACTGTTGTTCGCAATGCAGCCCTTGGCAACTTGTCTAAAGAAAACAAGAAGATAAACACTTGAAAGTCTTCATGCATCCTCCATTAAGATACAGGCCTACAGCAAGTGGAGAACCAAAGTATCATTTGGTCTTCAGCATACCTGAGGATAGCTGTCAGTCCTTGGAAGAACAGATATATCATAAGTGGCAGCAAAATGGCTCTTAGCTTGCTGGATCTGCCCATAGCGTTCTCTTTTCCTCCATTTTGCTCTCCTATTCTGGAACCAAACCTACAGTAAAGAAGAAAAATAGTCAAGATTTACTCATATACTCAACTGCAAGTGTAGTTATTTCTGGATATTTGAAGAGTATATATTGCTTCCTTTCAACTGTCCAAAAAAAAAAAAAAAAAAAAAAAAAAAAAAAAAAGAAAAAAAAGAGGAATAATCAGCTAGTCAGGCAGTGCTAATTTTGACAGTTCTTCAGTACAAAATCTCCAGGTAGCAGCAAGTCACATTGTGAAGAGACTTTATCTTAACTTCAAGTGACCACTCACTCAACATGTTAACCCGTGCTCTATCCCTTGGAGGTATATACAGTCTTCATTAATTGCATTAATGAAAAGACAGGAAAAGCTAGCACCAAGACTATCCATCCCACTTTCTATAAGGAAGGATCATAGCTGTCAGTGAAGGAAGATGATAAAAAAATCATCAGACCATAGTTTATGTTATGGTATTTTCATACTTGTGTTAGGAAGAATCTTTGTTTCTGATAATAGAAGACAAAGAAAATGACACTTAGATTACAAAATAATTTAGTTGTGAATCAATGCCTCAGCTTAGGGCTGCCTTCTTTATACTTAAATAGCCTTTGAAAAGTTATATGATATTCTGAGTGTCATGTTATCTCAAAATCTATTGTATATATGCTTTCACTGTTGGCTGACATTCAAATTTTTCTTCTTTAAGACAGTTTGCTTTGGGCTGAGTAAGACTTGTCTTGTTTAACTGAAATGACTGCTAAGAAAAGTAACTGTCCCTTTATAAAAGTAAAATTATCTAAGTCTTTATTGCTCAGCAAATTCGTTTTGACTCTTCTTAAGAAGTCATGCCATTAACAGAATGCCGTGGGCTTTTTTTTTTAATGGAAACAATGCCATTTGCTAGCTTTCCTCCTAAATGAATGGTGAACCTATCTGAATAGATATTTACACTAATACTTTTATAAAAAGTGACTGTGAATCCCATTTTTGAGGGTTGTTTTCTGGTCTTTGATGGTAGCAGTGTTTTGTAATTAATTTTTTTTTACTCAATCTTTGGAGAACTCAACTTTCCTTTCATGCAACCAGAGCATAATTTTTCTCATTTTCATTCTCAAGAATTTGTTGGAAATTTAGTATGTACAATCTTTTAAAATGCAGCAATCAAAGCAAGGCCCATGCATGTAACTACTGAGTGTATATTCCTAAGGGCTTTTCTGGTAAATCTGTATTATTTATTTTGCCCGAGGCTCAGCAAAAGGAAAAGTAAAGGAAAAAAGAATTCTCTTGTCTCCACAGGAGGCACCAAGAACACACTAAGGGAATTTAGTAATGAGGCTCTTTCATTGAAAAAAGACCTTGACAATCTCCTTAAAATGGGTGCCAATTACTTCACTGCCATGCAGCAGGAAAGAGAACAACTTAGATAAATTAAGTTCAGGTTGGCTCTCTCTGCATGTATGCAGGACAAATATTAAACTGGATCTTGATGAAATGGCAGTGAAGGGAAATGTGGGCAGTGTATCCAGCTGATCATTCTGCTAAACTAAATCAAACAATTTGCTTGAATTTATCGTTGCTGAAGGAGAAAAAAAAGCACACATTTTTTTCCTTTGACAGTCCCCAAAAATCTTTCTGTTTACATCGCTTTACTAGAAACTGACTCTTGGCAGAGATAAAGTAACCATTTGCCTCCACAAAGCAATGTAAAAATCTGCTGCTTGTTATTCTTGAGTTGCCACAGGCTTTCCTCTAATGTAAGGCTTTTTAAATTGCTTAATCTTGTGATGGAATACTGTCGCTACTCTGAATAAAAATGATCACCATTTCCTTTCATATTTAGCATATAAGAAATGCAAAGATCACTTATTCTTTAAGGGAAAAATGTTTATAAAGAAAATAGATAGTCTGTGAAAGTCTGGTGCAGACATATACATTTTCATATTTACTCTCTTATTTCTAATACTTTTACCATATGAAGATTCTAAAGAACAAAGTGAGAGAAAAAACGAATTGACAAATTTTACTCCATTCTACCCTCCCTGTTCTGTCTGTTAATTTATATTACCATATGAAGATTCTTAAAGAACAAAGTGAGAGAAAAAACGAATTGACAAATTTTACTCCATTCTCCCCTCCCTGTTCTGTCTCTTAATTTATTCTTGGAGTAGTTCTCATGATTCCAGAATTATGCAATTGTAAGAACAACAATTTAACACTGTAGCAACTTTTTTTTTTTTTAAGTCACAAGTAAATCCTAATGAATACAAGTTGTACTTAGAATACTAACCCAGATTTGGAGGGGAGGAATTGCACAGAACCTGAAGAGTTAAAAACCACCCAGCTGAGTTCTATTGGCATCACTGATATCATATTGGTATAACAGGCACATGATTTTAGACTACTTTCAGATGACAACAGTGAAGATGCCATCTGGTTTAACAGACATGAAAAGAGCACTTCTTTATAAAATTAATTAGTGGAGTTCATTTCTGAAAGTGATCCTGGTTTAATTTCAGTTGTATGCATGTGTGTTGACGTCTATTTCTCTATATGAATGCGAGAGTATGTGTTTCATTACAAGTTGTGAAGTTGTTATCATATTCAAGCCATTAAGTTGAAAAAATCAATCCCAGTCTGCAAGAATCTACAGGACTGCTATTCCCTGAATTGAGATGCTGAGTATTAACTGAACAGAAAGTATCTCTAAAATCTGTGTAAACTTGCAAAATGCAATTCACATGCTTTTCTGAAGGGAAGATCTCAATAGGGAAGGTGATGCATTTCCTGGACATTTAGCTTCTTTTCTCACCGTTATACATCCGAAGTCACAAATATTCTTTGGATTAGTGTATGTGCACATGCTGAATGAATCAATTTCATATGCAGTTAAGATATTCAGATACTGCTCTGAGTTGCCAAAAATACATTTTTTCCAAAAATTAGAATAACATTATCCATTGGATATGCAAGTTTAAAAGCAAGCAAACATACTTTCCAAATTTCCTAATTTGAAATGTGCTACAGAGTTGAGGGTATTACGTCCTTGTGGTACATATGCATCATGCATACTCACATACAACTTACACACACAGACATTTATAAATATGAGCAATTCCTTTGCTTACTCTTTGGATATAAACAAGAAATTTGAGTGCTCTTTAGATTTGTGTTTTTCATGCCACAACACATGCAGAATCCTCTATGGTCAAGTTTTGTATCATCAGTAGTCTGAACTACTTAAAATGTATTTCTTTAATGGGATCTTTACACATTAACACTTCATGCCTTTGGTGCCTGGAATTCTGACATTTAAGCATGACTACCAGATATCAAAAGCGCTTTCATATTGATTTGCTCTGTTGTATTTTAAGCAAGTTGCCAAAACAGCAACAAAAACTATTAAAAAATATGTAATAATAACAGCAATATTTTAGCACTGCAACACCGCTCTTTATATCTAGAAGGAAATAAAGCAGAATAATCAATAATCAATTTCTGTTAGCTTTGTGGGCTTTTGTGCAATCCCAAAGAGTGTCATTCCTCAGTTCTTGCAATGTACAAATTGTCAAGGAAACGCTTAAGTTTGGTTCCTACCTGGACTCTGGCCTCAGTGAGCTCTGTCCTCAGAGCTAGCTGCTCCCTCACATAGACATCAGGGTAATGCGTTTTCTGGAAGACTTTCTCCAGTTCCTCCAGCTGCAAACTGGTGAAAGTTGTTCTGTGTCTCCTCTTTTTACTGCTGGAGACATTGCTGTCACACTTATCGCCCAGTTCGTCCAGTTCCCCCTTCTCCTGTATTCCCTTCACAGGAGACATCCTCAGGTTGTTACAGCTGTCCAAGGGCCTGTTCAGGTCTGTGTGAAGAGGCTGTCCTTCCACTTTAGTAATCCCATAGTTCACTGTACACAAAGCAGGGGAGATAAATAACTGGTAAATGAGGGCTTTAGAGTGGAGGATACATATGAAACTGTTTCATAGGGAACCACATTCCATGTATGCCTATTTCTATGTGAGATGTGGGAAAGGAATCCGCAATGTTAATCACAAATAGAATAAGAGTATTAAACCACAATATTTAAACTAAGCATTGTATTTGAAAAGATCATCTAAAATATTTCAGTGTAAGGAGAGTACTTGAGTGTTTTTACACTGCCACTAAAGTAGGTAATAATCCATGAAATCAGCTGTAACTGGAATTGCACAGATAAGAAATCTTAGCATAAAACAGTTTTTCCTATAGGTGGTATAAAGCTACTGGCAAACATTCCTTTAGACTTGGAAGCAGATAGACAAAAGTCCATCTATTTACATGAAAATACAGAATAATTTTAGTATAAAGGAAATAGCTGCAAGCTGACAAATCAAGAAGTAAATGAAACTGAAAATCAACTTCTCTTTACAAACTCAATAGATTCCACATACTTTCCCTTGGATTTATAAAGTGGAATTGTTTCCAATTAAGTTTGTTATGATTGGAAAATGTAGAGAGTTTCTGCAAAATGTTAACATGTTAAAAGAGATTGTTTCAAATACTTTGTATAAGAATTGCTGGCACTATTTGTCTTTAGGTAAAATTCAAGTGGTACGGACAAGAAAAACTTCTGTATAGCATCTTAAGAAATCGAAGAGTTTTCTATTTTTCCATTTTTACACATCTCACATCAAAACAAAGACATGTGATGTGTTACAGGATTCAGAAGGACTTTCTTTTTACTCTCAGAAATGGACAAAAAAAAAAAAAATTTAAAAGTGTTGAAATCAGAACTTACACGGCTGTCATGTCACATAGGAAAAGGAGCCTGCTTTTGGGCTTTCTCGCCTTCTCAATAATTTGTTTTCTTTCATCCCGGAGTGATTTGAACCAAACGGAATTTTGAAATACTTACCATCAGTATGTACATAGATAGGAAATGCTCCCAACGCCCCTAAGGCAAGCACTAAACGAGCTAATTAAGAAAGATTTCAATGTGTAAATCAATTTTCCACAGGTTTTCTAAATTGCACTTGCAGAACTCTGTCACTATTTCTTATGGACTGTTTCATACAAAAAAGGATGCCCTCAAAAAACAAACAGACAAACAAACAACAAAAAAAAAAA